AATTAAATTTTTTTTTTTTTTTTTTTTTTTTTTTTTTTTTTTTGTAGCATGTAGCGCAAATTGAAAAAGATCCAAAAGTAACAGAAATACAAGCATACTTAAAGGAGTTAACTGGTAGAATAATAAAAATATATTTATAAAAATCTGTTTCCATCCAAAACATACATATAAATTTTTTTTTTTTTTTAAGGAAAAAGTAGTGTACCAAGAATTTTCATAAATAAACAAGTTGTTGGTGGATGTGATGATTTGGTAAAAATAATTACACTAAAAACTAATAAAATAAATTTATAAATAAGATTAATGAAATTATAAAAAAAATATTTTTTTGAATTTTATTCTTTTTTTAGGTAAAAGAAAAAGAAGAAGGAAAACTCCTAGAGAGACTAAAAAATGCTGGTGTACTTTAATAAAGTAAGTAGTCTCTTAACAAAACAAGTATATAGGTTTTTATTTTCTGATTTTTATTTTTATTCATTTTTTCCCTTAATAACTAACAAGAATAACATTTTTTTTTTTTTTTTTTTTTGTCTTGCGTTTTATGTGTATTTTTGTGTATAAAAAATTAATAACACAGTATATTATTATAAACTAATTTTGGTTTTAAATGAGACAATTTTAATTATAACAAAAGTAAAAATAGAAAAAAAAAAAAAAAATTAGTTTAATTAAAAAATAAATATTTCACTTTGTTGTAATATATTTTAAAAAAATATATAACAATGTTTAAACACATAATTTTTATGATTTACTATATTATCAATGAAAATAAAAATATTTTTGCAAAACTAAAAATCGCATTTCATAAATGTTGTATGGAACAATTATACATGTATTAACTTTTTGTTTTTAGATATAGGAGAAAATAATTAAATATAAATGAAACACCTTAAATTTAATGAAAAATAATTAAATATATATTTTTTTTTTAAGAATTTTAAATTTTATTATTTTTTTTTTTTTTAATAAAAACAAAAATTAAGGAATATTTTTTTCTAATAGCACTGATATTATTATTATATCAAATATCTTCAAAACAATTATTAAAAAAAATTTATAGCAAATTATTAAAATTATTATTATTATCCACCAAAGTTTTTGATAAATTATAACCTTAACAACTATTTCTTTAATTATAAATTATTATCTACATTATTGAATATTTCTATTAAAATTCATGTAGTCTTGTTTTAAGAATAAATTTTTTCTTTGTTAAAAAAATGCAATAATATTTTTTTTTTTTTTTTTTTTTTTTTTTTTTTTTTTGAGATATGTATGAATACAATTATTTTTCCTTCATTTTTGAAATAAATAAATCAATTATTTTATTTATTTCATTAGGACCTTCAGATTTTACAACATCATTAATATTCTTATGTTCAGGTGTATTATTATCAAAAATAAAGCTATATTTATATTTGTTTTCGTCATCACAAGAAAAATCAGAAATTATTTCATTAATACTTATATGCCCTTTTGTTTCAATTTCAATTTCATTATTTTTATTTTTTTTATATGCTTTCCATTCACTATTTATTTTTAAATCATAAATTAAAATTTTTTTTTTTTTTCTTAAACTAGAAGATGCTTCACCTTCTACTTCTGAATAAAAAAATTGTAAAAAAATATTGTTACTTAATTCTATAGAAGAATTTTCTAATGTATTTTTTAATTCTTCTTTTGCCCATTTTGTTAAACATTTTTCTTCCCAATGATAATTATTAATATTCCATATAGATCCTTCTTTTTTTTCACAATTTATATCTTTGTTTAAATTTTCTATTAAATTTTCATTCTTCTTTTCATCCCTATTTAGTATTTCTATATTTTTCAACTTTTCTTCTTCTGCTTGTTTAATCATCAATTCTTTGCTAGCTAAAAATTGCAATAAAAAAAAAAAAAAAAAAAAAAAGAATAAACATATTTATATATTAAATGAATTTACATTAAAAATTATATATTTTATGAAAATTGTGTCAAGTAGGAATGTAAATATATAAATATATATATATATATATATTTCTTTCAATTACATTCATTTTTGTCATGCTTTAAAAGATCTTCAGGAAAATTTTTTAAAGTATCTTTAATCTTTTGTTTTCCTTCTTTCTTTAATATATCATATATTTTTCTTGATTTTTCATTATCAGAGTCCTTTTCTATATTTATTTCATAATCATTATCCTTTAAAAAAAAAACAAAAAAAAACAAAAATTATTACAACAATAAATTTATTTTAATTTTTTAATTTATTTTAATTTATATATATATATATATATATATATATATATATACTTCCAATGAGCAATTGGAAAAATCAAGTATTTCTATATTCCCACTATGTTCTTTACTATCTGTTTTCATCGATGATAACCAACGAAATTTAATAATATATTCAAAAGAACTAATCTGTTTTCCTTTTCTTATAGAAACACATGTCTGAAAAAAAAAATGAATTTTTTTTTTTTTTTTAATATGATTAAAAATAAAAAGTTTTATACTTTTTCATTTTATATATTGTTTTTTTCTTTTTTTCTAATAATTACATTTCCTGAAATGTCTATATTATCAAAATAAATAGTTAAATTATCCTTTTCAATTTTTAAATTAATTAATTTAGATTTTATATAAGATTCTCCCCATTTATTGTAATTTTTTTCTTCCCTAGAGTGTATCATAAAAAAAAAAAAAAAAAAAAAAACTTTTATTTTTCTTTGAGACAAAATTGTGTTTTTACTTTTTTTTTTTTAATCTAATTCTTCTTATTATTAATATTCTTAATCTTATTATTTTTTTATTTTTTTTTTTTTTAAGTTTTTTTTTTAAATTACCAATGCCAGCTATTTCTATTCCATACAGATCCCGCCATATTGTATTCGTTATTATAAATATGTATATATATGTATGTATCTTTTTTTTAATAATTATTTATTATTTATAGTTAAAAGTTTTTTAATATTATTAGTAAAGGTATTGAAAAAAATATAATTAAAAAAAGTTAAATTAATAAATATATAAATGTTAATAAAAAAAATGTTAAGTATAAATAAAAAGTTTAATTTTACTAATCTACGATTATAATAAATCTAAAGTAAAATTATGTAATTTTAAAAAAAAGTTCTACACAATAAATTATTTCATTAATTACTATATTAGGTCTCTTTTTTTTTAAATTAACCTAGTTTTTGAAAATAAAAAAAATAAAACAATAAAAAAATGTTAGCACAATTTATTTTTAATGATTTTTTATGTTAAAAAAAAAAAAAAAAAAAAAAAAATTTGAGAAAATCATAATTAAAAAATTATAAAAATTTAAAATGAAAATTAAAAATAAAGTAAAAATAATAAATGATACTTCTTAAATTTCAATAAAAAAAAAAAAAAAAAAAAAAAAAAAATAGAAACATGAATTTATCATAGAATATTGTGAAAAAACTATTGAAGTTTTAACTTCTTAAAATAACACCTTTTTAAGAACTTTATTCTTACCAATAACATTATAAATAAATAGAAATACAAAAATATTTTTTAAAAATAAAATATAAAACTACTAATAAGTTTGAATTTATATATGAAATAATGATTCTATATTTATTTTGTCTATAATTATTACATTTCGAAAAAAATGTAATTAAAGATTAACCTTTTAAAGAAACTATTTTATTTTACCATATTTTTTACATAAGCATTATATTTCTAGTTTAGCCTTATTTATAAAATTAATAAAAAAAAAAAAAAAATTTCAAACATATATAAGTATTAATTACAATTATATAAGAAAATTTCTCTTATATATTTAGATTGAATAAAAAAATAAATTTAGGAAAAAACTATACTAAAATAAAACATTACGTAAAATATATACCTTTAATCAATAAGAATTAATCTTTTAAACATTAAATTTTTTCTGGTATTTATTTTATCAATAAGTTGTATTAGATATATTATTATATATATATTTTCCTTTTTTTTTTTATTTTTATGTTGAAAATTTTAATTATATGGACACCTTTTTAAGATTATTTTTAAATATACATATATTTTATTAATTGCTTTTCTAAATATTTATTACATTTCTTTTTAAATTAACTTTTTTTAAGAATATCATTTTACTTTATTTTCAGTTTATATTCCTTCCTAAATAATCTGGTTTTTTCTTGTTAGTTTCTTTTATTTTATTTTTATTTATGTTTTTATTTATTATTTTTTTATTTTTTTTTTTTTTTTTTACTATTTTCAGATGGTTAATTTATTACCAAACATGCATAATTTTTTTTTTTTTTTTTTATGAATAAGAATTAAAAATTACAAGCTTAATTAAGAAATTTTATATTAAACCAAAATAAATATCATTAAACAAAAAGTAAGTTTATTTAAGTAATGTATTTTACTTATTTTATAATATTTTTAATATTTGAATATATGTAATTTTAATTTATATTTTAATTTTTTTTTTTTTTTTTTTTTTCATCATGTGTTTGTAATGTATTAAAATTTTTTTTTTATAATAATGAATTACTTTTTCTTCATTTACAAAACTGAAAATATATATAATTATTAAAATTTTTAAGATATATAATTTTTTTATATATTTTTCTTATATATATATATATACTTTTTTTTTCTTATTTTAAATTAAGATTATATATATATATATATATATAATTATAATAGTTAATATTTTAGTTGCTTTATTACGTTCCTTTTGAATAAATAGTTCTTTAAATAAAACATTTAATTATGAGAATATTTATAGAAAAAAAAAAATCATTTCAATCATATATTACCATGTTAAACAGAACTATAAAGAGGCTTATATTATGAGTATATAAAAGTTATTCCTTAAAATATCAAAGAAAATTATATATTAAATGTAAATTTATAAAAAAAAATTATAAAAATATTAGATTAAAATAAAGATTTAAATTTTAGAAAAAAAAAAAAAAAAAATAATAAATTATTTATTTAAAAAATTATATAGTAATTAAGCTGTAATAAAATAGGAATATATTATAAAAATTTTATTAACAATATGAATAATTTACATATATCTAAAGAAGATGAGAAAAATAATAAAACATTAACAAATAAAATAAACTTACATCCTGAAGAAAGTATGTCTACAAATTTTAAAAATCATATAAATGAAATAAACAATAAAAATGAAACTGACAATAATTCATCATTAATTGAAAAAAATAAAGAATTAAAATTTGAAGATATTAAAGATAATTTTGTTTTTGAACAGAATAATAGTTTTAGAAAAAATAATTATAATGATTATTTAGAAAATAAAGAAAAACCACTTAACACAATTCATCCAAATAATATTTGTCATGATTTAAAAAACACTCCTTTAAATAGGAGTGATTTAAATGATAAAAAATCTATTAATATAACCAATAATTTGAATATATTATATAATGAATCATATAGTAGTGTAAATAGTAATAATAAACTTCAAAATAAAAACGATATTGATATAAAAAACGTAGAAGATATTAATGGTAGTTATTTTAAGCATGATAGTTTATCTTATAGTAATGATAAAAATATATTAAATTACTCTAATAAAAATGATGAAATAATAATAACAAAAAATATAGAAAAACCAAATGAAAGTGATTCTTATAAAGATGAAGAACATTTACAAAAAAATCAAAGAGATTATTTAGAAATAAAATTAAATAATAAATTAGATGATGCTTTTTTTACGCATGATTTTAAACAAGGAAAAAATATAACGAAAAAAAATTATTCATTAGATTTAAATATGAAATATGATAATACTAACTATAAGAATACAAGTTTAAATAATAATAGTAAAAATATGTCATTCTATGATTGCAATTCTTTCTCTAAATTAGATGATAAAATTAATAATCAATTTTTGAAATGTGATTTACAGGAAACACAAAATTATCATATAAATAACGAAAAAAAAGTAAAAAGTCATAAAAATGTTGAAGATTATCAAAATATTCCAAGTAAAGAAGTATATAAGAATACTATGTCAAATGATAATGTAAATTTTGAAAAAAATGAAAATTTATTATTAAGTAATTTAAATGGATTAAACAGAAAAATAGAAGAAATTAGTAACACGACTTTTAATAATAGTTTAAACATTTCTAGCACTATTAACAACGACATTGATAAAACAGATAACAATAATAATAATTGTAGTAATATCGGTAATAGTTATAACAATTTTGATAACGATAACATTGATAGTAATAATAGAAATAATGATAATAGTAATAATAACGGTTGCATCAACAATTTAGTAATTAATGAAAATGATAACTGTAATATGGATTATAATTTTAATGAAAAAACAAATTTTAAAGATAAATATAAAATTTGCAACTCTAATATATTAAATGATAGAAAAAATTTAGATAAGTTGAATATAAAAGAAAATGATGAAAAAATGACATCATTAAGTTTAGAAAAAGATAGTTATAATTATTTTTATGATTCAAGTAATAATTCTTTAAATACAGAAATAAATAAATTTCGTTATGAAAAAAAAAATAATATTGTTGATGAAAACAAAGAAAACAACAAGGATAAAAATATTTTTAATAATGATTATAAAGGAAATTCAAGATTTAATAGTTTACATGAATATAATATAAATAACTCTTTTAAAAATAAACAAATCTTTTCTAATGATTTTAACAATTCAGATAGTAATATACAATATAATAAAAAAAATAATTACGAAGAGTTGAATGGCAATAATTATAGTAATAAAAGTATAATATCAGACGGTAGTAAAAATAATTCTGTTATAGAAGGAAATGGAATTAATATAATACCATTGGATAACAACTTGCTTAATGAAAATTATATAAATAAAAACAATATTGAAGAAAAACTTTGTGAAAATAATACTTCTGAAGCAAATAAGAAAGAGGATATATTAATAAGAAAAAAGGAAGATAACTTTGATAAAAAATGTATAAAAAATAATTCAATGAATAATTTAACATATTATAATGATGGAAATATTGATAATAATAAGATAGTTAACCATGAAGAAAATAGAGAATATGGAACAAATGAAAAAGTTAACGATAAAAAAATAAAGGAACTATCTAATGAAATATATAGTGAAGAATTTAAAAATAATAATACGTCTAATGAATGCAATATGAGGAATACAAATTTTATAAAATATGTAAATATAGAAGATAAAAAAAATATACTAAATATTTCACAAAATAAGGAAAATAACTCTTTTCATTTATATGAATTTAAGAATAACTGTATTAATAGGGATAATGAACAGAAAGACATAAAAGATAATAATAATATATTTTCAGAATTTAGAAAATCTTATGAATTAAATAATTTTAAAAATAATATAAATACCTCTGGTGATAAAAAGAATATTGATGATATAAATAAATATACATATATACAAAACTCTACAGAATTTAATCAAAAGGAAAATAGTGATAAAAATATAAGTAAAGATTCTAATAACATAATTTATAATTATAAAAATGAATTGAATTATACTAAATTCCATCATAAAAAGATAAACCATCCAAATAATATATATGAAATGGAAGATATGAAGAATCATACATATCAAATCTCTCATAAAAATGTTTATGATAATGAAATTAAGAGGAGAAACACAGAAAATTTACATGATAATTGCATAAATATAAAATATGATAAAGATTTAGAAGAAATGAATAAAAATAAATGCAAGTTAAATTATAATAAATTAAATGAAACCAATTTTTTAAATTGTAAAAAGAATAACGAGAAAAACTACTCAGAATTTTATAAAAATTGCAAAGATAGTGGAAATTATGAAGATTATAACTATATGAATAATTTAGATAAACATATTTTCAAAAATGACGTATCTCAAGTTAAGACAAATGAATATTATGATAATGAAGGAAAAATAAAAGAAAGATATATGGAAGAGAAAATGCAAAAAGAAGAAGAAAATTTTGATTATTATTATGAAAAAACATTAGAGTTTCTTAATGAAGAATTTTATAGTAATAACATAGATAATTTGAATGATAGAGATATCCTTGAAAAAACTCCTTTTTTTAAGTTGGTTAATTTTGAAAAAAAATTAGCTTCTGAACGTAAAAGAGTTTTAAATTATTACAATGAAGATAAAAAACAAATTTATTCAAATAACATAAATAAGGACAAACAATTTTCGCACATTTTCCATAATAATGAAAAGTATTATGATGCAAAAGAAATACTGGCTTACCTACTTCCATATCATACTTTTTATTTAGACAAAATTTGTATAGAACCATATAAAGAAGATGAAAATATTTCAAAAAAGTTAGAAAATGATATTAAAAAAATAGAAGAAGAAATTTATAAAATTAAGGATTCTTTTTATACTTTTACAAATCCATCAATAGTAACAAAAAAAAAAAAAAAAAAAAAAAAAAAAAATTATATTAAATATGAGATAAAATATTTTCTTTTAAAAATTTTCAATGAATTTACATTTTATTTTTATTTGATGTTGTTATAGGCATGGAGTTTTAACAAAATGATTAATAGAATAACTAATCAACTTAATAAAAAAAGAAGAATAAAATAAAGAATTTTTTTTTAAAAAAGATAAAAGTAATCAAAAATTTAAAACCTAATTTATTCCGCATAACAATATATATACACAAACATATATATTTGTAATTTTTATATGTATGTTCTTACTCTTTATACTTGAAAAAAATGTTTAAATGAATTTTAGTAGATTTGTGTTATTACCCCATGTAATAATAAAAATATATATTTCCCTATGGCATTATATATACATCTGTTAATATAAAGGAAAAAATATTTTTGAATATATTTTTATTTTTAGAAATTTTTTGAAAATTTCATACTATTTGTTTTCCACCTTAATAAAAGAAAAAATATTTTAAATTTTTGAAAAAATAAAAAAAAAAAAGAAATATAAATTTTGTCAAAATATAAAAAATAAAATTGTTTTTAACAACATAAGTTTAAATAATCTTTAGTAAAAAATAAATATTTTAATTTTTTCTAGTAATGATAAAAGAATATCAATAAAATATATTATTCTGTTTTATTTTTTTATACAATTATCTTAATTTTCTATCATTTTTCTTGAATAATATTAGTATTTCCATATATTTCTAATTTTATTTTTATATTATTTTATTAAGAGATTTTGTTAAATATATGAAAAAAAAAAAAAATTATAAATTTTATTTTTTTAAAATTTTTATTATTCGCCGATTATTTTTGTATTTATTATCCATTATATATGTAAATTTTTTTTATATGCCTATTTGAGCATGTGTTCATATAAACTTTGTTCAAACTTTTTTTAAGTTTTTCTATAATACACGCGAATTCAAAAACATAAACATTTATAAAATTTAATTAAAAAGAGAAAATAGTAAAAATATGTATCTTAACAATTTTTCAATTTTTTTTTTTTTGTTGTGTGCTAGATTTTAATAATTTATATTAAAAAAAATTTCATAAAAATATATAAAAAATTTATTATTCTAAAGGAATTTTAATTAAAAATTACATATGAAATAAAAATTATAAAAGAACATATATATATATATAGAAGGTTCTTACTTTATTTTCTCCTTTTATTTTATTTATTTTTTTTTTTTTAGTTTTAATTTTAACAAAATTTTTTAAATTTATAAATGCATAACTATCATAAACGTGCATATTTAATGTAATATTCGTATATTTATTTTTTTATTTTTTCTATGAAATTTTATGTTCATAAAATCCAAAAAAAAAAAAAAAAAAAAAAAAAAAAAATTATTTTTTTCTTTTTATAAAACATATTCGATGTGATTTTTATTATGAATAAAAAAAATAAATAAAAAAAAATTAATATTTTTTTAAGAGAAATATATAATGAAAAATAATATTCTAATCCTTAAATGAGTTTAATTCCTATAATATATATATATTTATATATGTTTTAAAATTTTTTAAAATCTTTTTATTGAATTAATAATGGCTATAACAATATTGAAGGAACAAAATTTTTATAATATAAAAAATAAAATAATAAGATTTAAGAAAAATTACATATGTTATCAAAGAAATATAATTAGAGATAATGTAGTTAAAAAAGCAACACCCAAATTTGAGCAAAAACCATTAGGAAAGTATCCAATACCACCTGAAGCAGAAATGACATGGAAAAATAGACATACAGCATATGGTGGTTATATTCAACAAACCATATCTCCTTTTCAACAAAAAATTATGTATCCATTTTGGCATATGGCTATGGCTAGATGGTGGGCTAAATTTTCTTCTTATCTATGGTGGTGGATATGGCCATTTGCATTAACAAATTTAATTTTATATAAGATGTTTTATGATGCAAAAAAACAAGTGAAAAATAAACATTGGTATTAATATAAAGTTATTTAAATGATATTTTTTTTTATTGTTTCTCTTTTTTACCAACTAATAATTATGTACTTAATAATTTTTTAATATTAATGGATATTTATTGATATGAAAATATTTTGTTAAAAAGCTTTTTGTATTTATTTTATATATATAATATATATATATAATATGTATATATATATATGTATATATTCAAATGCACTCTTTTTTACGTTTACTTATTTATTTTAATAAAAATGTGAATTTTTCCTTTTTTTAAAATATGTATAATTATATTATTATGAATAAAAATTAGCACATTAATAATTTTTGTTCTTACTATATTTGTTTATATATATTTAACCATTTTTTTTTTTTTCTTTTTCATTTTTTTTTTTTTTTTTATGTTTATAAATATATTCTGAGATTAATTATTTAACATTTATAATCATATATATAATAGTTTTTTTTAAAAATTATAAGTATAGAAAGGTATATTTCTAAAATTTTAATGCACAAAGCTATCAATGTAAAACTCAAATAAATGAAATATGTGAAATCAAATAAAAGAAAAAAAAAAAAAAAAAAAATCAAAAAGAATTAAAGTTTAAAAAATATAGGGAAAATATAAAAAACCGTTTATATACTCATAATAATTTATAAAATAAACTTATATTTATTTTAAGAAAAATTATTTATTTCTAATATAACTTTTTTATTACCTTTAATTGCATATATTGCTTTTTTTCTTTAAATAATAAAATAATTTATAAATTTATATATTTACATAAATATTTTTAAGAAAACTAAAAAAAAGAAAAAAAATTATAAAAAAAAATGGAAACTGAAAATAATATAAAACAACAATGAACATATATAGTAATAAAATTTTAAAAAATATGATATTAAAGATTAAGGGGATTTTACCATATAAAAATATTAATAAATTAGAGTGTAAAAAAAGAAATGAAAAAAGTTTTAGTGATCATTATGGAGAAAAAAACAATGAATTTTTATCTTCGAAAATGGAAGGAAAAAAAAAAAATATATTTTTACAAAAACAACTATTAGACTCTAATGATTATTTCTTTAAAAAAAGAAAAATATTTTATATAGACAATAGTATCTTTTTTATTTCTGGTGGATTAATTTCTTTATATAGTGTATTTGTATATGACTTTTTTACAAATAGACAAATGCAAATTTTTTCTAATTTTTTTTTTTTATTGTTTCATATTACTAGACAAAGTGTTAATATTTTAGCTTGTATAGTTCACGTATTATTTATTTTTTTTCAAATTTGCGTTTTATATATTAAATCAAATATTCAAATAAAATAAAAATATATAAAAAAAAATATATAAAAAAAAATTATTTGTCCTCTTTTTTTTTTTTTTTTTTTTATTAAACTATACTTAATTTTAAAATAATATGTTTATTAAGATTTAAAAAATTAAAAAAAATCTTCCTAATTAACTTTGGAAAAAATTATTGTAAATATAATTATATATATATATATATTTATATATATTATTAAAGATAAATAATTTATGAATTAAAAATAAAAAGAAAGTTAATAAAAATGTGATTAAAATGAAATATAAATAAAATAAAATTGCTGATATAAGAATTTTATGGAAATGAAAAATAAAAATGTAATAAAAATTAAAAAATAATTCATGATGGTTTCCTTTATATATTTTTTTCTTTTAATTCTTCTTCTATTTTTACTTTTTCAGTTTCTTCTATAACATCTAAATCTTGTTCATCAACATTATATTTATGCGCATTTTTTAATAAATATTCTGCAATATGTAAGCATGGATTCTTAGGTTTTGTTTTACAAATATATATTAATGCATCAGTTAATATTGGTAAAATGTTTTTAATTAAATAAAACCTCAAAGGAACCGATTGATTATGAATATACTTTTGTTGGTGTTCAAGTAATAATTGCTGTCTTTTTTTTTCTGCTTTTATCAATTCCTCATTTCTATTCATTTCATTAATTACTATATCTCCTTCAATTTTTTTTACACTTTCTTTTTCATCTACCAAGTATAATTCTCTTTGTTCTAATTTTTTTTTCAAAATTTCATCTGTTGATGGCAAAAAATTATAAAATTTTTTATTTTTTTCAATATAAATAAAAATGTTTGTTAAAATATCTTCTAACAATGAATCTTCACTTATATTTACATTAAACACTTCTATCTCTTTTTCTATAAAATAATCTTCAATAGTTTTTTTTTCATCATTTTCAAAATAATCATTTCTACAATTTTCATTTGTATATTTTTTGAATCTCCTTTCAAATCCATTTTCATCATTGTGTCCTTTTATGATTTCCTCTTCAGGTAAGTTCATCATTCTTTTTCTACATAATTCTTCTTTAGCCTTTAATATAACGATAAATTCAGGCATTATCAAATTATTTGTGTATTTAATAACCTTTTCTTTTTTTTTCTTTTTTTTTGATATTATTGTATCTCTATTAGTGCCATTTTTTTTTAAAGAATCATCAGAATTAGAAAGAGAATTATTGTTATTTGACTTATTAGTACTTATTTCGCTTTTATTACTTTCGTTTTCTTCTTTTGTTTCATCTTCATATGACTCTTCACCTTTTTCTTCATCTTTAACTTCCTCGTCTTCATCTTTTTTTTCATCTGTTTCATCTTCTTCCGCTTCTCCTTCCGTTTCTTCTTCCTCTTCCTCTTCTTCTTCCGTTTCTTCTTCTTCTTTCTCTTCATCTTCAACTTCATCATTTTTTTCCATTTCTTCATTTTCTTCTTCATCTTTTTCATTTTCACTATTTTTATTTTTCTTTTTTTTTTCTTTCTTATATTTGTGATTTTCTTTATTCAGATTTATATTGCTTCCAGTAATTTTTTTTATTTGTTCATCATTTGTACAATAATTTTCAAAAAAATATTTTGCTTCATCATAGTTTCTAGGGAAAAAGTCTAAAACGAATCCTCTAAATTTGCATTCATTATTTTCTAACTTTTTATAAAAAATAGACGAAAGATCATCTAATTTTAACTTTATTTTTTTAACATTTTTTTTTTTTTCATTTTCTAGTTCATTTAAGTATTTTTTATAATAATCAGGAAAACTATAATTATTATTTTTATATTCATCAATCAATGAGTTAGTTGAACATAGTGTTAAATTATAATGTTCACATATTTTTTTAGCTATAAATGATTTTCCGCTTCCAGGGGGACCCAAAATTAAAATTTTTAAAACTTTGAGATTTCTGTGTTCACAAAATTCTCTAGATAGAATAGAAATATTTTTTGAAAAACCATCAGAACAGTGAAATTTAATTAAATATTTTTTTTTTTTTTTTTTACGTATATGATTATTTTTTTCTTCCTTTTTTTTTTCTTCCTCTTCTTCATCTTCATCTTCATCTTCCTTGTCTTTTTCTCCTTTTTCTTCATCTTCTTCTTCTTCTTCATCTTCTTCATCATCTTCTTCCTTTTCTTCCTCTTCATCTTCCTCCTCTTCTTCCTCTTCGTCTTCATCCTCCTCCTTCTTCTTCTTCTTCTTTTTCTTCTTCTTTTCCTTTTTCTTCTTCTCCTCATCTTCTTCTTCTTCTTCATCTTCTTTTTCTTCATCTTCTTCTTCTTCTTGATCTTCTTTTTCTTCATCTTCTTCTTCTTCTTCATCTTCTTTTTCTTCATCATCTTCCTCTTCATCTTCATCTTCTTTTTCTTCATCATCCTCATTTTCTTTTATTTCATCCGTCTCACTTTTATTATTTTCATCATCATTAGAACTGCTTCTTTTTTTTTTTTTGGAATTTTTCTTTTTTTTTTCATTATTATAATAAAAATTTGTGCATGAAAATCTTAAATTAACACATAAATATTCAGCATTCTCTAAAAATAAACAATCATTAGATGGAACATTTATAAAATTATTATTACCTGAAATATGATTTGCTACAGTTTCTATAAGCTTTTTTTGTGTAATAAATTCATTATCAACAGCTATTAAATACTTTTTTGTTGATTCACTTAAATATAATTCTTTTATATATTCACATAAACCTTTTATATGAATTACAGGAATGTAATTATTTCCTTTATCGATAATATGATTATCTTTACTTAACCAAGCATTTTTAAAGATAGAAAAAAATATATTTTCACCATTTCCATATAATAATCCTGATGCTACTACATATGTATTTAAATTTTTAATAGAATTTAAAGATAGTATAAGAGTTTCAACACTTTTATACTCTTCAAAGTAATTAGATGACATTCTTTTGAAATAATCCGACTCACTAAATACTTGTGGAATACATATATATTTTGATTCATTGTCTTCATCATTTGTGTTATTTTTTTCATATAATGAATTTTTATTTTCAAGATTTTTATTTTCTATTAATTCTTCATTATTTCCGCTATTATTTTTTATTTCTTCAATTTTTTTTTTTATAAATTTTCTTTTTGTTTTATTCCATGTCATTATAGAGGAAATCAAAATAAAAGTAACTTTTTTATTTAATTTTTCATATTTTAATTTTCTTATAATATATTCTATTTCTTCTATATTAGTATTATGTAAATCATAAATAATCAGATCACATTTTAAAATATTTTTGATTATATTGTCTTTAGGTATTTTTGATATTATTTTTTTTACATTGTCATAAATATATATTATAGAATTTTCTTCTTTCTCATTTTCTGAAAGAGTTCCATATATTTCAGTTTTTTTTTTTCCTATTTCATCGAATGTTTCGCATAAACAACTACCACTATATGTGTTTACATTATTAATAAATATTCTCATATTTTTCTCTTTTTTTTTACTTATTTCGTTTATTTTTTGTTTTTTTTACTCTTTAAATTATTTTTTTAAATATTATGTAAAAAAAAGAAAAGAAAAAAAATTCTTAATTTATAGAAATCCCTATGTAATAGTAAGAATAATAATAATAATAAAATAAGTGTTTAATTATAATTATAATTTTTAAAAAAATATCGTCATACGTTTTAATTTTTTATTAGACACGATTTTTTTATATATATTTTAATTGAAAATTCTCCACATATACATTAGAAAATAAAACATTAGAAAAATAAATAAATACTTAAATAATTATATAAATTAAAATAAAATAATTTTATTTTATTCTTATTACCATTAAATGAGTAAATTGAAATAATATAATTACTACTTTTATTCCCATATTATTGTCATTTCTTAATTTCATTTATATTTTTTTTTTTTTTTTTAACGCTTATTTAGGTGAATATTAATATAAAGGAGGTGCATTAATTTATGAATCCATTTTTAATTTATTGTTTTCTTCTTTTTTTTTTTTTATGATAAAATTTTTGTATTTCATTAATAATGATAAAAAAAAAAAAAAAAAAAAAAAAAAAAACCTTATTACATCTAAAAAAATATATAAGTTAATATATTTAAAAGAATAAAAAAAAAATTATTAAATACTTAAATATGCATTGTGATTACAAAAAAAAAATTTATATTGAAAAAAATGAAAAATATATTAAAGAGAAATAAGGAAGTGAAATATTTTTAAGTTAAAAAATCAATGTAGACAACTTATTTAATAATTGGAGTTTATAATAAGAATAATTATATTTTTCCTCAACACATTTATTAACCTTATATAATAAAATTATAAGAATAACCCTTTTTAAAAATATTTATATAATAATATTATATAAGTCTATTTTCTTGTTACTATTAATAAAACAAATGTAATGGAAGAAAAATTACTTGTAATTATGAGTCTTTTTTTTACATATGAATTAATTATATGTAAATAATGTAATAATTTTTCTTATATATTTATATAAGATATTTTATAAAAATTAGTAATAAAGAAAAGGATAATATATTATTTTTGTTATCATTTATTAAATATAATAATAATTTCTTTTAACAATTTATTTTATCTTTTGTATCAATCTCCTTTATTTTAAATATAGGTTTATGATTATTAACTTTTTTTTTTTTTTATTTTATTTACACCTAAGTATATTTTATATATGAATCTACAAATTTATAAAAAAAAAAAAAAAAAAAAAAATTAAAATAGAATAAGGATTTATTGATTTATAACAATATAATAATTAAATTAAAAAAGAAATGATGTAATTTTAAAACTTTAAAATGAGAATAATATCTTTAGTACAATTAAATTGATATTTTTTTTACTACATTTCAGTACAAATGATAAACTTTTGTATTTGTTAAAATAAAAGTATGCAAAGATAAAACAAAAAAAAAAAAAAAAGGAAAGAAAAAGGAACATAAAATATATAACATACAATATGTAAAAAATAATATAACAAATGATTGATGTGTATTATTCATATTTAATCAAGCATAATAATTAGTATGTAAAAAATAACTCTTTAAAAAAAAAACTTCATTTAATTATTTCACATATCTCTTAAGTTTTTTTTTCCACTTTTTACATCTTATTCTACAATTAATAAAATCTATGGTTTATTATTTACATAAAAAAAAAAAAAAAAAAAGTTAATAAACTTGATAAAGTTTAACATAGTTAAAGTAAGAAAGAATTATTTCTCATTATATTTATTAATATAAGTAATATTTACAGTTATTAAAATAGTATTTTCTATATTTTTTTTTTTTTTTTTTTTTTTTTTGGAAATCAAAAAAGATATAAAAAATAATAAAATTTATTATTTATTGGATTTATTTAAAAAAAAAAAAAAAAAAAAAAAAAAAAAATTGAATTTTTTTAATAAATTACAACTAAAAAAATTCTTATACAATAATTAAATTTAAAAAAATATATTACTCTTTAGATGGGATAAAAAAAAATATATTTTTTATTATAATTTGTTTGTTTCCCAAAATTGCTTAATTTTTTTTATATAAAAGAAGTCCTTTAATTTTGTACTTATTGGTACTTATCTTTTTATACTCAAAAATAACTTTCGTATATAAAAATATGAGTGAGGTAAACACACAAAAAATTAATAAAATTAGTATACAAAAATTAAAAGTTATTTTATTATTCTTTTTTTTTTTTTTTTTAAAAATGTTATATGCTTAATTATAATTTTTTAAAATAAGAAATAATTAAGGATTATAAACATTAGAATATATTAACATATATAAATGAGTACTTATATATATATATGTATTAAGTATCTTTTTTAATAAGTTCTTAATGATCAATATTAAAAAAAAGAAAAAGAGAAAAGATTAATAAAAATATAATATAATATAATATATATTTTTTTTTTTTTTTGATTATTTTAAAATTATTTATTTATTTTATATATATATATATTATTTAGGTAATTGTTCCAAGAAGTTTTCGTTTATTAGATGAATTAGAAAGAGGACAAAAAGGAAATGTAAGTGAGGGTGTATCATTTGGTTTAGAAAATGCTGATGATATAACACTTTCAAATTGGTCATGTACCATTTTTGGACAACCTGGAACTGTATTTGAAAATAGAATTTACTCTTTAACTATTTTTTGTGATGATAATTATCCTGATGCACCACCAACCGTGAAATTTGATACAAAAATTGAAATGACATGTGTAGATAACAACGGAAGGGTTATATACTTAAATAATTTATAATTATACATTTTTTGAATTATTTAACTTTTCATATATTATAAATATTAATAAATTTCTAATATTTTTTTTAAAAAAAAACATTATTCTACATAATATTGTAAAAAGAAGTTATCAAAAAAAAAAAAAAAAACACATATATATATGAACATTTTTTAATTTATTTTTTTTTTTATTTTGCAGGTTATTAAAAATAATTTACCTATATTAAAAAATTGGAATCGTAATTACACTATAGAAACAATTTTAATTTCTTTAAGACAAGAAATGTTATCAAGTGCAAATAAAAGACTACCACAACCAAATGAGGGAGAAATGTATCCGCATTATTAATTATATAAAAATAAAAAAATAAAAAAATTAAATGTAATAACCATATAGATAAATATAAAAAAAGATTTTAATTTTTATAATAAAATGTGTTACTATACTTTCCATATATTTTTTCATTATTTTTTCTTTTTTATTTTAAATTTATATTCATTTATATTCAAAAATGTTTTTTAGGTTTTAAATAATGGAATAATATTTTTTGAAATGGAAATTTTCAATTATATAAAATATATAATATTAATTTTTTTTTTTTTTTTTTTTTTTTTTCTTAAATAATATACCATTTATTAAATAAAAACATTTTTATATTTAAGAAAAATTTTACATATTATAATTATTCAATCAAAAAATTTAATAGATTTAACTAATGAAACCTAAATATGCATTAGTAAATTTGGAATTATATGTTACTATATTTTCATTTTTTTTTTTTTTTTTTTTTAATTTTATTATTTACTTGAGAAAAATTTTTAATTAAAAATATATATATATATACCTAATTACATAAAAAAAAAAAAAAAGTAGTAAAAAATTTTAAATTATTTTAAATATTCTTATAAAATTAAAAATATATGAAAAAAAAGAGATTATATTTTTATATATTATATAAATATATTAAAAAAAAAGACAGAAAAATAAATAGTATCAAAATATAATTACAAAAATAACTTCTAAAATAATGACAACCATACATTATAATTTTCCTTTTTTAACTATTCATAAACATTCTAACTAATACTTAAGGAGAATAGTAGTATTCCTTTATATTTAAGAATAAGTAATATATATTATATAAGTTGCTTAAAACAATACATGTATTTTTTGAAAATTCTGGTGTATGTTTATTTTAATTTAAAAAACATATTTTTTTCACTTAAACATTATTTGTAGGACTTTTAATTTCATCTTATTTTTTGATATATTTTATGAATTCAATACATTATAAAATTAATGTTTTATAAAAATAAAAAAATAAATATACAGATACAATATTAAGTATAATTATAAATGTTACTAAACAAAATAAATAGAAAAGAAATTTTATTCTTTTATTAAATACAACCTAAAACATTATTGCAACATTAAAGTTATGCTAAAATTTTTTAAAATTATTTTTAATAAAATAAGGAAAATATATAAATATCTAGAAAAAGAAAATTTCTTTTATTTTTATTTTATTATTTTATACAGACAAATTAATATTAATGAAATAATTTGATATTATCCACCAATATGAATAATTTTATCTTTAAAGCCATTTTTTTTTTTTTTTTTTTTTTTTTTTAGAAAAAAATAATAATTTACTAATAATAATTATTTTTTTTTTTTGTAACCATTATAAATTTTCTTTCTTAAATAACCAACATAACTTATGTTTGTGTAAAAGACAAATTTTTTAATAAATTCTACTAATAATATCATTAATAGAAGAAGAAATTGTTATATTATTTATTGTAATGATTTAAAATAATTACCTTAATTTTATTATAATTTTTAATAACTTCATTCAAATTTTTCTGTGTGAATTTCATTAAAATTGTAATTTTTACTGTCTTTTAAAAAGTGATAATTTCTAAAAAAAAAAGTTATTTTAATACTTACTAAAAATTTTACTTAATGTTTTGTTAAGGATAAACTATGTTATGTAATTAACCACTATTTTAAATAAGTTATAAAGTTTTTAAAATATTAGTAATAATAACAAAATTTTTTTACTTTTTTAAAAAATATATACATATATATATATGTATACTTTTATTAAAAAATAATATGAATTTTTTTTTCTTTTTTTTATTCACGTACATTTTAATATATATCATATATATTTAAAAAAAAAAAAAAAAAAGAAAAGAAAAGAAAAGAAAATTCTTTATGATAATTAAAATTTTAATTATTTTTTAATATATTGAGTTATGACTAAACATAATTACAAGCTTTTATAAAAATTTTCAGATTTCCAAAAGAAGGTAAAAATATAAATTATTGACTTTAATTAACTTTATAAAGTGCAAATAAAAAATTATGTATAATAAATAATAAATTATACTTAATACACCTAATTTATATTCTCTTCTTTAATGAGTTTATAAAAATAAGAAAATACGAATAGTTTATATTTTATTTTTATTAAATTATTATTTTTTTCAAATAATTTTTTAATTTTATTATTTATTAATATTATAAAATATTTATTTTAAAAAATTCCTTAAAGAAAAAGAAGTATAAAAAAAAATATTAGGTAAGAATAAGAAATATTTTATGAATATTATAAAGTCCAAGTATCATATTTTTTTTTATTTTTATACAAGTTGTATCTTTTTTTAAATTTGTTTTTTTTTTTTTTTTATTTTTATTATTATTAGTTTTTAAAATTCTAGAAAAACTATTTTTCAATCTTTTAATATATTATATCATTAAAAAGATATAAAAATATTCACAACATTATATAATAATGTATTTATTGAATGGTTTTATTTACTAAAAAAAATGATAATCCATTAATGAAAATTAATAATCTGAAATTAATTGTATTTTATAAAAAAATTGACTACATTTATAAAATTTATCAGAAACAATTTCTCTTAAATATTTCAAATAATTATAGTAAAAGTAAAATGTCTAACCAAAATACAGATAAGAAGAGATATAATTGTATTAATGAAAATGAGTCTTATGTAATTAAAAAAAAAACCAAGTTAATTCCAAAAATAAACAGAGAGAATTTAAATCAAAATAATATTAATCATTATTTTTCTTCAAAAATAAAAGAAACAGATCAAAATTTAAATGATGATATTAAAAGTAAGGGTTCACATATAGACACTATTAATAAAACTGACATAAGTTATACAAAAATCATAGAAAAAGAAAATTTTAAAGATATTCAAGATAAAAGAAAAGAACATTTAGATGTTACAGAAAATATTAGTAAAATAAATTTAATTGATACAAAAAATATAATTAAAACTTTCTCTGAAGAAAACAATTCAAAAGATTGTCATATAAATAAAGTACAAATTATAGTAACATGGAATATGAATAGTATAACAGTACGATATAAAAATAAAGAAAAATGGAAAGAATTTATGAATTTTTTTAATAAAATAAATGCTGATATTTTATGTTTTCAAGAAGTACGATTACCAGCATTAAATTTATCTGATTGCAAAAATAATAATGATAATGTTATGAGGGATAGAAGTAAAGTTAAAAACACAGATCAAAAAAGTCTTGTTGACTTTCAAATTATGGATACTATTTTGAAAAATGATTTTAAAAATTACAATGCTTATTTTAGTTTAGCAAATATAAAATATAGTGGACAGCTAGTATTAATAAAAAAAACAATCCAATTAAAATCAGTCCGATATAATTTATCTTTTAATTTAGATTCAAATATACATCATGATGAAGGAAGAGTAATTTTAGTCGAATTTTCAGATTTCTTTTTGTTATCAACATATACACCCAATAATGGATTTGATTATACAAAGTTTGAAAGAAGAAGATTATTTGATGAAGAATTAGAAAAATTTGTTGCTTCTTTAAAAAATAAAAAACCTTTAATATGGACTGGTGATTTAAATATTGCACCAGAAGATATCGATTTATCTCATCCTGCTGAGTTCCGAAGGATGAAAAAAAATGATGTACCAAAAGAATTTATTGGGCAACCAGGCTGTACTGATTTTGAAAGAAAAAATTTTAAAAAAATTTTGAGTTCAGGAGATTTAGTGGATTCTTATAGATACTTTCAAAATTTAAAAAGTAACAAAGAAGATAATAAAAATAAATTAAATATTAATGAAAATATATATACATGGAGATGCCCCTTTCGCATAGGTAAATTATGTAATAAAGCAATGAGAATAGATCACTTTATTGTGTCTAAAAATTTTCTTAAAAATATTGAAAAAGTTGAAATACATGGTTACAGTGTATTTCATAATAATTTTTACGGTTCTGATCATTGTCCTGTTATATTATATCTTAAAAATATTGATAAACATGATAATACTGATAATAAATTTATACAACAAAAATAATATATAAAAGTTATATAGGCTTATATTAATATTTTTAAAAAAATGTATAAATTTTGTTCTTTAAATTTCAATTACTTTATGAGAACATAATGTTAAGTTTTAATTTTTTATAAAAAAAAAAAAAAAAAAAAAAAAAAAAAAAAATACCTTCATATGAATAAATTCGTATACCCCACATATATATATTCACATGAATAATATTTATGTATATAAATGACAAATAATAAAAAAAAGTATAACTTCCTTTTTTTTAAATATAAAAATAATACAAATGAAACAATTTTATTATTAATGTTATGAAATGTTATAATGAGATAAATATGTTATTTATAAAAAGAAATACACAACATCATAAGGAGTTATACTATGTATATATTTTTTTTTTTTTACATTTTAAAATTTATGTTAAAACTTTACAATCCTTTTTCAAAAAAAAAAAAAATTACATATACTTTTAATTTTTAATTGTTTATGTTAATCTTTTAAGTTAAAAAATTATATATAATATTATAAAAAAATTTTAATTACCTTAAGAAAAACATTTAACCTTTTTATATTTTCTTCATAAAAAATCCTGTTAAAAAAAATATATACGGTTACCACAATAAAATAACACATGTATTTGTGTTAAATAATAGTTAAAACAATAAATCATTTAACTTATAAATTTCTATTTTTTATATTTGATAATTCTTCTTTCTAATAATTTTCTTTTATTTGTTTTTTTTTTTTTTTTTTTTTTTTTTTTTTTTTTTTTTTGGTTTATTTTAAATATATAAATTTTCCTTTTCTTTTTGGTATATAAATAATTTTTTTATACGTTTTTTAATAAATTTAAAAGCTCAAAATTATAAAATTTTCTATTTTTTTTTCTCATATTTCTCTCAACTTTAATAAGATTTTTATGTATTAAAATATATATACATATATATATATATTTAATATACATTTTTTTTTTTTTTTTTTTTTTATATTTATGTATATATAAATATTTCACTTATTTTATTAATTTATTTTGCTTAATATTTAACTTAATCATCTTTCATTTAATTTTTTATAATTTTAATTTAATTTTATTATTTTTTCTTACTTTTTTCTTTTTTTTTTTTTTTTTATGTTGTTTTTATATTTTTCGAAATTAAACATTTGTTTTTTTTTTTTTATTTTTTTAACCTTTTTTTTATAAAATTTTATGACAATATAAAAGTTACATTATTTTAATTTTTTATTAATACCTTCTTATTTTTATGATTAGCAATCGTATGTTAGCCATAAAAAATGGCAAAAAAAAGCGACGAAGCTAAAAGAATATTAAAAAAGAAAATAAATAATGATATAACTAATATTTTATTATTGTTTGAAAAAGTACAAGAATGGGCAGATTTAAGTAATATATTACAAAAACTTTATTTAACCATAGAAAAATATGAAGTATTTGTTGATTTTTCTTCGAAATTTTTGTTATTTAGAAGATTATCTCAATGCTTAAATCCACTTTTACCTTCAGGAGTACATTCAAAAGCATTAATAATATATTCAACCATTTTTAAAAAAGTAGAAAAAAATTTTCTCATAAATAATATTCACATATTGTGTTCAGGAATATTTGAATTTATGCTACATTGCACCATTAACTTAAAAACTATTTATTTTAAAAATATCAAAAGTATTTTAAATTTAAAAGAAAATGTATATATTTTTGCTTATGCCTTATTACTATCATTATTTAATGTAGTAGATAGTGACAACAATATATTACTATATATATATTCTATAAATAATTATATTGGAGAAAAAATATTTTTTAATAATTTATGGTTATTATTATTAAGGCATAATGAAATAAGAACAAATATTTTAAATTTTTTACAAACATCATTTAGCCCACAAATATCTCTACTATCAAAAGAAAGGATAAAAATGCTTTTACCTTGTAAAGATTATCTTGTATTATCATCACTTATTTTTTGTTTAAATGATAAAAACATTTTAAATCAAAGATTAACTTTAAGTTTGCTAATTAATAATTTTCCCTTATCTCAAATAAGTAATAAAAATAAAAAAAAAATAAGTTATAAAAAGAAAAACAACGACTGTAATGTTCAAAAGATAAATTTCTCAAACAGCATTAATGATGTAATTATCGATACTAATCAAGATCAAAATTATTTTAAGAAAGATAAATTACCAAATGAACAAATGAATAATGAATATGCTCAAAAAAACATAGAAAAAGATGAAATTAATGAAGATAATGAAAATTTTAATGATGAAAAGAATGTAAATAGTAATCAAAATTTATATAATGATTCTGAATATAGCATAAATAATGATTTAACAGATTATAGACAAAAAATGAATATATTGAATGAAAAAAAATTGGAAACTTTAGATAATAGAGAAAGAAATCATATTTACGAGGAGGATAAAAATAAATACAAAAATTTTAATTTGGTAGAAAAATATGATAATAGTGAAAAATACAAAACAATTACAAAGTTAGATGATATAGAAAAATATGATATTAATGAAAATATAGAGGATAATAATAATATTATTATGCTTACTAATGACAAAATAAATAATAAAAATGAAGATTATATAACTACTGATGAAAAAGTATTATCCAATGATTTGAGAGATTCAAAAAAAGAAGAATATAATTTAAAGTGTGATTTTAATAACAATACAGAAAATGTATTATTAATAAATGATATGATGAATAGTGAAGAAAATGACCCATCAAAAATTGTTTTATTTAGTGATATTAGTAAAAAAATAATAACAAGAAATGTTATTTTTTTATTACAGAAATCAGATATAGGTCTAAATAGAAGAATATTTAAATATTTATATCTATATGAAAATAATGATGAAAAGAATTTTAAAGAGAGTATTAACTATGAAAATTACAAAACATTTTATGAAACATTAATAGATATTCTGAATAATAAATTCAATGATAATTATTGTAATATTTCTGATGTTTTATATATTTTATTTAAAAATAAAGACTATATTGAAGTTAATAAGTATTTAATGGAAAAAGTTTTTTTATATTTGCTTAATTTTTGTTACAAATATAGAAATGATAAAGCAATATTATACTTTTTAAAAAATATGTTAAGTTTGAATTTAATAAGCTATGAAAATATCGTAAATATATTTTTACATACATTTTACTTTTTAAAAGTAGATGATTCCTTATTTAATCATAATATAAATATATATATTAAAAAATTTATGAATTTATTAAATATAATGACTTTTTTTGTAGAATTTGTAAAACATATAAATAAATATGTATATATATATTATATATTTTTATTTAATATTGCTACTTTGAAATTAATAAATTACTTAAATCATAAGATAATAATTATTATCAAAAAATATAATCATGTAAAAGATTTAAATAAAAAATATTTTATATATTCCAATGATATAGTTTCTGGTAGACATAGTTCCTTGTTTTATTTTTATTTTTTTGTTACAAATTATAACAATTATTATATGCATAAATGTTTTGTTTTATTTATAAAAGAGCCAATATTTCAAAGATATTTAAACAGAAAAAGTAACATTAAGCATGGAAATGATTTGAATAAGCAGTTTATATCATTCAGTAAATATGAATTAAATAGTAAGGAAAAAGCGAAAAATAAAATGAATGAAATCAAAAAAATTCAAATAAATAATAAAATTTTAGAAGAAAATATATTAGATAGTGAAAAAGAAGAAAGGTTAAGAAATATGGGAATTGTAGATCCTATAGTAAAAAATAAGAGAGCGAAAGAATATGAAATTAAGGAAAATAGTAAAATTAATGCAGTTGATAACATAATATTCAATGAATACTCTTCTTTTGATAGAAATAATTTGATCCATAATAATTTTAGTAAGAATTTACAAGTAGAAAATAACGAATTATTATTACATATATTATTGAAATATAAATGTATATTAAAGAAAAATTTGATTGATTCAATTATTAAAAATAATGAATTATATTTTTTTACAAATAATTATGAATATATTATTTATTTATTTTACAATTATCATTTGTTAATTGAAAAAGAGAACGTAAACAAAAGTTCGTTTTTTTTTCTAAGAAATATTTTAAAAAATTGCACAAGTGAAGATAAAAACAAATTTTATTTTTGGTGTTTTTTATTTATTCAAATAATAAGAATAAATTTCAATAATTCATTAGCTCATAATTATAAAATTAAAGAAGATTTACTAGATTTTAATTATGAACAGCCATCTGTGAATATTAATTGTAATAATGATATAAATGAAAAAGAAAATATTATTGAAGATAAGAGTGAAAATAAAAATATGAATGAAAATATTCAAATGAAGTATTCAGGAGAAACAACTAATAATATATTTAATTTTGAAGAAGAGCTTTTATTTAATAAATTTTTTGTTGAAAATATTTTATCATATTCGAATAAAATTGTAAAAAATATATTTAATTATATTAAAATATTAAAAAAGAATAAGAAATTTATTCATTTATTTTTTGACATAAATTATTTATATATTTTTTGTGATAATACATTTTGTTTAAAATTTTTGAAGAAGAGTTTAAAATGTAAAGATATTAATGAATTAACTATAAATATAAAAGTAATACTAGAGTTTATTATAAATAATAAAACGGATGAATATCATATAATTCACTCAAATTTTTATAATTTATCTCATGATATTTTTAAGCTATATAATAGAAATACTTTAATTAATTACTATCTATTAAAATATCTAAAAACAAACAAATATAATCTATCATATATATTTGATAATATAATCATCAGTATGTTTGATTTAATAAATCAGATAGAAATTTTATTTAATAGTGACACTGAATATAAAGATAACATAAATAATAATAGAAATAGTAATAATAATAATAAATGTTACAATACTATTAGTAGTAATATTGAAAATATTAATGTGGATAATAAAAATAATAATTTTAATAAAGATAAAAAAAATTCTCATAACTATGAAAAATATTTAAGGAAATTAAAATGTAAATTTGATTACATAAATTTTTTCTTTTTAAATATTGAGAATTTTATGCTTTGGTTATACAAACACAAAATTAGTAAAAGAATATATGATTTAAGAGATAAAATAAATTTATCAAATTATGAAAAAAACATAGCTATAATTATTTGTTATATATGTACAGAAGGGAATATAAATTCTTTTTTTTTTAGAAATTACTTAGATGTATTTTTTATTTTGTTTTTAAAAATTATGTATTTAAATGAAAATATTAGCGAACTTAATAACAATTCTAATAAAATAATACAAAAAGAAAAAAACTCGTTGAAGCAAAATGCGTTATTAGAATTTAAAAGAGATATAATCAACTTACTAAATCACATTTTTAATTTAAATAATAATAAAAATTATAAGTTTATGAAATTTTTGAACATTTATTATAGACAAACTATTCATCATTTACTATTTTTATACTATTATTTTACTGTAAAAAAATATTATATATTACAATTACAACTAATAAATTTTATTAGATACATACTACCTCTGTATGAAAAAAAAAACATAGATAACAAATATTGTGCTAATGAGAATATTGAAAAAGAAAGTAATTTTAAAATAGCAAAATATAATAATTATGAAGAATTTCTTTCTATTAGTAAAAATAATTTTGAATTGAGAAATAAAAAAAACCAAAATATAAAAAATGATGTTTTTATTTTTAGTATTTTAAGAAAATCAATGACAATTATATTTAATATAAATGAACAAGTTATATATAAGGAAGTTTTAAAAACTATTCTTTATTTGATTGAAAATATTATTGAAGAAAAAGAAGTGAAAAATTATTATTTAACAGTTTTTTTTTTAGATTTGTTATATATAATAAAAATAGAGGATCAAAAAAAAAAAAAAAACTTATTTTTTATAATGAAGTTTTGTCACTTTTTATTAGAAATATTTAAACTAATATATAAAGATGAAATAAAAAATGAAAGCAAATTTGAAAATAAAAATGATTATTATAATATATCTATTGATGATATAGAAAATAGTATAAGTGAAAATAAAATTTCTACAGCAAGTTTTTGCAGTATATTTTCAATAAAAACTGACGATAAATTTATAAATATGCAGCATAAAAATATATCAAATTTATTTTCAATTATTTTTAATTTGTATGCATATCTAAAAAAAAGAATAACATTATATTGTAAAAATAATAATAACTATAATAATGATAATAATACTTATAATAATAACAACAAAGGTTATAATAAAAATGAAAATAAAAATAATTTTAGTAATAGTTATAACAGTAATAATAATAATAATAATAATGATAACAAAATTAATAATAATAATAATGTAAGTAACTACTACAATAATAATAATAATGAAATTAATAATAATATCATTAATGATGATAGTAATAACAATTACAATGATGATAATGATAATAATAACATGAATAATGATAATAACTCAAATAATAATAATAACATCAAGGATGATAATAACAACAGTATTAATAATGATATTAAAGAAATAAATAATAATAACTATAATGATAATAGCAACAGTATTAATAATAATAGTCAAGATGTAAGTAGTAATAACTATAATGATAATAACAATGAAATAAATAACTCTAATGAAAATAATAATATTACTATTTATAGTAATAATAATGATAAAAAAAATTATGATTATAATAACAGTGAAAATAGTGAAAACAGTAATAATAATAATGATATTATTAATAATAATTTTGATAATAACAATAGTAATAATACTATTTATAATAAAGATGATACTAATGATATTTGCATTAATAATGATAGTAACAATAGTTATAATAGCTATATATATGACAATAATGATACTAATAGTAATAATATAACGAAAGACTCTAAAGAAGATAATATTTTAAAAAGTACTCATAGTATAAGTAATAATAAGAATGGCTATTCTGATTTAAATAATGATATAGATAATTCAATTAATAAATTAAACTTTAATTCAAATATTGAAAAAAATGATATATTAAAAGATACCCATTATAATGTCAATAATGATAAAAACAATTTAATGAAGTCTATTGAGACTAATTTTATACTTTCACATAAATGTGAAAATTCTATTATAAGTAATTATAAAAATAAAATGAATGAATATAATATAAAAAATGAAAATTTAAATAAAAATAAAAAAATAAATTTGATGAAAATATGTTTAGAAAATGTAATTTCTATAAATAAACTTTTGTATTTTATTACTAGAAATGATTTTTTATTCATTGATAATTTATATTGTATATTTAAAGAATATGTTCAGAATAAAAATGAATACAATCGAGAAGAAGTAACAGAAGAATCTTTTTATGAACAAAAGAAAAAATTATATAAAAAAATGAAAAAAAAAAAAGTTAAAGAAGAAGAAAAAATAGAAGTAGAAAGCTTTATGGATCATAATGAAAATGTTATAGGAGATAAAAAAGTAAAAAAAGAAAAGGTTAGGGAATATTTTAAAAAAGAAAAAAAATTATTGAAAAAATTGAATTTTATTAGCAAATTTAGTAAAAACTCAATTAAAAAAAGTATGGTTGTAATGAATTATTCTGATGAATCTATGGAAAAAAAAAAACTGTCCTTTTCATTAACGTTATTTAAGGAATTTAAAGATGATATATTGATAAAAATATTGGATGATTTATTAAATTATTATGAGAAAAATAAGTCAAAAATAAACATAAATGAATTTATGTATTTTTTATTTAATATATATTTAAATATATGCACATTAACAAAAAAAATCATAAATTATTTTATTGATTTCATATTTTCCTTCATTAAAAAAATAACTCAAACATCTCATAATATTATGTGTAGTTTATGGTTTTTATATATTTTATTTATAATAGAAAAAAACCATATATATGTTTTTAACGATAAATTACAGAAAAAAATAATATTAGAACAAATATATATTCTAATACAAATATCTTTATATAGTTTTTATTCAAAAAATGTCAAAAATAATTATAATATTCAGACACCTTTACCAAAATTTGTACAGCCTTTTAGTATTTATTATATAATTCAAAATTGTTATATAAATAATAATTATTTTAAGAAAAAGATGAATGTAAGATATTTTTATATAAAAAATTTAAAATTAATTGAAAAATATTTTAACATAAATGATTATTCTGAAATAGCAGCAATTAATTCTTTATCCTTTTTACTAATGTGTTTCTATCATTCTATAAATAATAGTACAAAAAGTTATATATGTGAATCATCAATAAATATATTTTATGAAAATTTTAGTAAATATATTTCATTAATATATAATAATAGTGTTCAAAATATATTTTATAGATATTTATTTTTATTAATTATGAATTTATTAATTGATTACAATTATAACTGCAAACATTATATAAAAAAAATTACGTTTGATTTATATTCCTATATAACAAATATTGATATAAGATGTATAAAAGCATTATCAAATATTTTTAAGAAATTAAATGAAACTAATATTGATGAACTATTATTAGTACCATCTACTAGTATCTTTTCATTGAAATTTAATATAATAAATTCAAGAATTAATTATATAAATAAATTATCATTAATTATATTGGCGGGAAGTAGGAATTTTTATTTATGCCATTTACCGAAAATAGCTGAAAATATTTCAGAATATTTAAAATTTTGTTCAGATCTGAAATTATATAGAGAAATATTAATTTTAATATGTGTAATAATTATAAAGAATGATGAAAGTGAAATTTACATAATAATTCCTACCTTTATATCTTTGATATTGCAAATTTATCATGTAGAAAGGATTAAATATAAAATTGCTTTTGAAAATTTTAAAAATTATGATAAAGATGAAGATAATTATATATATGGTTTTAATTCTTATAATAATAAGGATGTTCTTTCCTTATTAAAAACATTATTAATTATAATAAATATTTTAATTAAAAGAAATGTTAATTTTCTAAATTTTTACTCATGGATATTTTTTAAAGATATATATATTAAGAAAAATTCTTTTTTTTTGCATAATAATATGAATAATTCTTTAAATAACCAAGTTAGTCATTATTTAAATTCTACTAGTAATATAGATATATTTAGTCCAAGTGATATGGAAACTAGTAGTGTTGCATCTATTAATGAAAATTCTTTGAGATTACAAGAAGACATTTTTAAAAACGAAAAAAATGTTAATGAAGAATGTCATAAAAGGAAAGATGATTTACAACATAAGAGTGTTAATAAAAATGAGAAAATTTTTAATGCAAATAGTATACAGAGTAATAGTAGTGAAGAAAAAACAAAAAAAAATGATGAAACTTTTCAAGATAATAAAGAAATAATAGATGAAAATTTTAATGAAAACGAATCGAACGATATAATCAATATTTTTCTTAATGCTAATCAAGAAGACGATTTTCAAAAAAATCATAATTCATCATATAACTTAAAAAAAAGTATACATAATAAAACAAAACCAGAAGAAACAAAATTTATTGCGTTTCTAGATATAATAGAAAAGTTATATTCATCATTAAGTTGTAAAAAAAATAAAACATGTAGTGAATCTAAAAATGAAAAAAATTCAAATGTAAATAATAATTTTGAAGAAAAAAGTGAAAATTCGATAGAAATTTTTGAAGAAAAAAAAAAAACACAGAATTTTTATAATGATGAAAGTAGTAATTTAAAGAAAAATACGTATTACATTGATAATTATTTGAATGAGCATATTTTAAGTACAAAAAACAATTTATCAGGATATTCTTCTTTTGAAAATAATTTAAGTAGCTCATCTGTGAATTCTATTAAAAGTAATTTTTCTTATGGATTCTCAAAAGACTTAAACGAAATGTCATATGATACATCAGATAATAGTTATATTAGTAATAGTAGCTCTAATAATATGAGTAATTTAAATGACTTTATTTCTACCAATGAAAATGAGGAATCCATATCATCAGACGAAATTTATAATAAAACGAATGATAAATGGAATTACGTTAATTGCCTAATGAATTATGATATAAATGAACTATATAAGAAAAAAAAAAAAAAAAAAAAAAAAAATTTTATTTATTCCTGTAATAATGTAGCATTATCATTAGTATATTTATCAAGGAAAATAAAATTAAATTTTTATAAATATTCCATGAAAAAACCTAAAGATGAAACCCTTATTTTACTAAAGGAGTTAAATTCTATTGAAAATGATATCAATGATATATTTTTAGAAGTAGATTTACATGAAATTTATTCAGATTTCTTAATTAGATAATAAACAAAAAAAAAAAATTATCATACGTTTTTTATGTACATTTATAATGTTTTTTTTTTTTTTATCTGAAGTATTAAAAAAAAAAAAAAAAAAAAAAAAATACAATAAATACATGAAAGAATTAAAAGATCAATATTATTTATATATTTTTTTTTTTTTATCTTGTTGAAGTAACTTTTTTAGTTTATATATATATATATGAAAAAAATAAAAAAAAAAATAAAATTATATATTATTTTAAGACAGAATATATATATATATTTTTTTTTTTTTTTAAATCTTTTGTTTTATATTATTTGTAAATTTTTTTATAATTATATAATTTGTAAATATTACATTACGAATTATTTGTTTTTCTTTTTTTGTTTTTAGCTATAAATTTTTTCTGATTAATATATATATATATATATATTATTTTTATTAATTATTTTTTTCTCATTCATAAACAAACATTTGCATAATTTTTCATTTATGTTTAAAAAAAATCGGAACTGATGCATCCGTCCCACCAACTTTGTGTTTATAAGAATCATAAACTTTTTTCAAATATTTTCTTTTAATATTTTTAAAATTATAAGTGTAATTATTATGATCAGCAAATTCATTTGTTTGTTCAATGTGTGGTGTTATAACTGGAATTCCACTTCTAAAATAAAAGTGACCTATAGAAACAAATTAAAAAAATAAAAATATTTATATTTGAAGATAAAAAAAAAAAAAAAAAAAAAAATATAATAAAATAAC